ATGCCAACAATAAGTTGCTAGAGCACTTTAAAGGCTCAAAATTGACCACAAAATAAGGCAATGTTTACCGTTGTTTTTACGACAGAAACCGAATTGGTTATTTACAAAAATGAATCTGTCGACAGGTTTGGAGTTTTATCTTTGAAACACACTTTCTTTGAAATCGCTTTATTAGTTCTCGTGCAATAAGCGTTTTTGTGAAGCTCTAAAAATTACAACTACAACATTTGAACATAGCCCCCATACCTTAAGGTAAGACGTATTCTACGTCAAAAGATGAAATCGTAAGTGATACAATATCATTCATGTTTGCATCAAAGTCGACATATTTTAAGTTTTAAGTCTATAGACGATACGTGTGCGGAACTTGTATTTTGGTTAAATTTCGTGTGCGCATCGCCATCCATCATAAAGTATTTCGAACTTAGACACGCTCCGTCTATATATATCCTGCTTTCAAACCTAGAGAAAGAGCTCGGCGTTAAGATATTTGAGCCGAAAGAAAATTGCTATCATCATTTAAAAGGGATACAAAATTGAAAAAGGTTTGAACTAAATGTAAGGAGTATTAAGGAGACTATTTTGAAAAATAAAATGCTTTCCGCCAAAAAAAAAAATAACTTTGATTCAAATAGTCACTGGCTTATCAAACTGCGCTCGTAGCAAGAAGAGTCGATTAAAATTTATCACATTTAAAAAGACCCCGACGAAATTGAAATTATTCGCCAGATAGAAGATTTAAAATTGTAGGTAAATTATCTTATTCAAAATTTATCACAAAAAAAAAAATGTGTATGTTCAAGATGATCGAAATGTATGTTTATAATATACATATTTACTTCGCGGTTAAATAAATTAACTGCCCAATTGCAAGAATTTGTTTCCATTTCAAACCTTGCAATAAATTCTTCTCGACTGATTGGTGAAATGAAGAATTTTTTTTACAAACTTTTATTATGTTTCAGCTGTGTGTAATCAAATCTGGCAATCAGTTTTTAACCAACTTCCCGATGAGCTAGAGACGTGAGACTAAAAACTGGCAATGCAATGTGAAAGATAAATTAGTCCGCTAGTTGGCGCGGGTGTCGAGATATTTTAAAAACCAATATGTATGGACCGATGTGGCCCATATTTGGAATGCATATTACCTACATAAAAAGGAATAACTTTACAAAAAATAAAAATACCCGGTAGGTGGCGCAGGAGTCGATACATTTTGGAAAACCCGTATCTCTGTTTCGATTTGTCCAATATTTAGAACGTATATTACTCAAATGGAAAGAAATAACTCCAAAAAAAAACTTAGCCCATTAGGTGGTGCGGGAGTTGATTATTATATTTATTATTAACAAAATTTTTCTTAAATGACTTGTTATCAGATGTGCATGCATATAGTAAAGGTGGAACTAACATTCCCAGCAGTTTAAAGCCTTGGGTGTCATGGATTCTTAAACATATTTTCCTGCTCGAAACAGCCTAAATATCCACCTAAATATATATTATTTTATTTATACATAAATATACATACTATATATATATATACGAGTATAGTAATTTATTCAAATGACAAATTTTATTTATTTTTTCTTGGCTCGTCAACAGCTCATCAGAAACGCCGTACTAAGGACACAAATGATTCGCGCGCTGCAGGTGTAAAAGCCTGGAGGATATGTGTATAAAAACAATAAAGCCCTCTAGCCAAAGGACGAAAATTTGGCTTTTGTTTGCGTCCAACCAACAACAGGAAATACAAATCGTGCCCGCACTAAGCCGAGAGCCGACGGAGTTGTAGTAACGTGACGTGCCGAAAATGGCAAAGGACTCCTCGAAGTAACTTGAGTGAAGTGTGAGAGACATTGAGGCAAATTGAAATTAACCGCTGCTTGTAGCATACCAGCAGTTTGTGCGACGTAACTGTCAATAAAATGGTAAAGTACGGCAAAATTGTCAAGTAAAAATTGCCAAATTGCTCCGAGACAAGAAAAGTGGAAACAACAAAAAACAAACATCGATAGTGTAGTGCAAACAAACAACTGTAATAAAAATCCTACAACAATAACAGCAACTCTAAGGAAGTCAACTAGCAATTGACATTAACATCCTACGCGACAGACACAAAGGCGATCGATCCTTCCCTGTCCACAGCCAACTTGTTATCCCGTTAGCTATTATCCTTCGCCTGCTTCGCGTTTATCCGCTTAGAAAGTTATTTTTTTTTCGTTATTCGCCCCCAACGAATTGCGACAGACGGATACTTAACTTTTTTGCGTCATTGTATATTTTGGTGAAAAAGGTGCCATCAACAAAACAGCAGTCGTGGATACCGCCGGTGATTATCAGGAGTCAGTGCTAGTGCCGCCGCCCTGCCCACCCGCCACACCGCCCTACCAGAGGCTAACAAAAGCGCTGCAGTGCGATCCAAGATGCGGACACGAGGTAATTACATAAGCGAGAGAAGTGGAAATGTGGATGTCTTAGAAAGAGTGGAATGATAACATTTGTAGTAGAGTTTCGAAGAATCCAATGGGTTAGGTTGCATGCTTTTACGCAACGCTAGGTGCAGCAAAGCAATGCACTGTTACTAGATATAATTACATGAATAACATGAATTAAAATGAATAAAATTGTAAAAGCAAGCAAAACGGTCGCCAATCTATTATATTATTATTTTCTAAGATATTTAAGCTCTCCAGCATGCCTTTTATTATTTGGGAGTAATTACTTAACTTAGTTACTATTTCCCAGAACATTTTTAGCAATTTCAACAAAAGAGGTTCACAAAGGAAGTTGCAAATCGTTTATTTAACTTAAGCAATCAAATTCTGTTATCAATATTCTTAAAAAAAATCGGCCTTTTATTTTTTTCGTTAAAGTTATATGAAAAACATTGCCTCCTAGAGGATTATATGTCTGAATAAATTATTTTTTAATGTTAACACTAGCGGTGGAAAACTATCGATAGTTGGCGATAATTTTTCGGCTTTAACTGCTTTATAAATCGAAAAGTTGATTAAAATGTAACTTTACAAAGCTCTTTAAACATATTTTATTTTTTGTGAATAAGGCCCTTAGTATTTTCAATCCACAACAAATAACAAAAAACTAACAATATCTCGGAACCAACAAATTTCCTAAAATTGTTGACCTATGTAATCGGTAAAGTACGTTTTGACGCCGTTGCCACCTATGCCAAAGTGGTCTCCAAACGGATTCATGCCTGGGATCTCAGAAACAGAAGATGCAGCCTGCACTTATTGCCACAGCTGAGATTGGTTTTCGTTTTTGATTTTACAATTCCTGTATCGAGGTCACTAATCGTATAAAGAAAGTTTTTCGAAATTGTCGAACAGGCAGTTCGCCGCTTGATCTGTACGAATTTTAGTGACTGGTCAAGTTTTTGATTAAAGGGATATTTTCCACTAATAGAGTCTTTCATCTCAATTAACCATCGCCTTTGCTGTGACATTCGCTTCGACATGCAAATACGTGTACTTAAGCATACCTACCTGTAGACTATAACTCTGTTATAACCACACCCTTAATTTGTTGTAATCGCGAATGCTAAACAAAACTCTTAGCCGATTGCGCAATTTCGATTGCCTCAATTACATTTTGTGGCAATTATTCGCTTATAGCATAGCAATAGCACAGCACACCCTGGCGAAACGCCTACGCCAAAAGAGGTCTATGAACCTAATACACCGTATTTATATAGTACATACATATGTACATACATAGTAGGCAATGTTCCGTTATGCCGACGAACCCCACCAAATAGCGTCGCATGCAAAATAGTCGCCACGCTTTAACTGGACAGCATTGAACTTGGACTTGAAAGCAGTTCGCCATGGCGTACACATTGAATTTGTAAGGCTTCCTCCGCTCACAACACTGATGCATGGGTTGAGAAAATACCTAGGAAAAGTGTTAGCAAATGTTTATTCAATTATTGCCAAGATACATATATATGTACGTATGTATGTATGAACCAAGCAATCAAGTCGTTACAATAGGCGGCTACCTACAAAGCAGTAAAAATAAACTCCAAATCATAAATACAATATTTGAGCTCATTTGTGTAAATTGCCTACACGTGCAAGAATAATCCCCAACACCAAAACTGGACACTCATACATATATCGAAGAACTTGATCGATGTATTATTATTCGCCACTAACACAATTGCTTCATTGCTGCGATAAACACTGGCAATAAATCCAAAAAAGTAAACTCTTACCCGCTAATAAGTCCCGTATTTAATTTCCATAAGAAGATTAAGTAAACGAAATTCGTGTAGCCTAATGCAAAATACTCTAGCATGTATAAATATTGCTTGTGATGTGTACTTACTTACATGCCTGAGCTTCCGAACGATGAATAAACATGCCGAAAATTATGGAAAGCTCAAAGTTCGTGAGCTCATGAATGTGTGCAGCAGTTTGGTACTTGGCCATGAATTTCCATTTCAAAGAAACTCTAATTACTTGCCACAAGCATATACACGGGAGGGTGTACGAGGTAATGTATAAGCTTATCAGCATAGCCATATGCCCAGCAGGAATTTGCAGAATAGCTGCAGCATTTTGGTTTTATTACTTAGAAGTTTTTAATTTTAAACTGCATATATCGAAATCTTTAGCGAGTATTATTTAGTACTATTTTAGGGTTAATTTCCTACCACGGTTACATACATGTCTTTCAGCGCATTTAACTTAACACTGACAACTGCCTTCCAATAGCGAGAACGCAAGAAGGGTAATGAAAATATATGTACTGAACTCAGTCCACACCTGAATAATGACGAAATTCTTGTCCTAATTACCGATTACTGGTAGCATTGAATTACGCTAAACGCTAGGTATTACGCGCCAACCGATGATATTTAAATTAAATATTTCCTACTGGAAACCTCACCTAACTTCCAGCAGCGTGCGCGCTTACTTCATATCGTTCACGTGGATTCGCTTATCAAAGGATCGAGTATTACACAGAGTTGACAAGTCAAGGACTTAAGCTAAAATAAGGTCGGATATCCTCTGAAACGTCCATAAAACACAATGTCGAGTTGGCTTGTTGACGCTGATGCTGAGCACTGAAGCGTAGGTACTTTAGATAAAAATCCGCGAAAGCTGAAATGCTAATTCTGAGTGCTCTTTGCACGCATTCAGTTGAGCAGTCAAATTTAATCATCAATAGGATACTTACATGCATACATATATCTTGAACTGGTGAATTTATTTTATAGCTTCTGTGATTGTATGTAGTCAGATAGCCACCATAACAAAAAAGACGCAAAAAACAAATATTCATGAGTGGCCTTTTGTTTGTTCGACATCCCTTCGCTCGCTGGCAAATGGCGATTGGAGCAATTAAGGCCACAAGAAATGACTGAAAACCCCCAACTGAGGCAATACCGAAAGAGTACAGGCACCAGATAATGTCCAACACAGAATACGGTAGGAAAGAACGAGCAGCAAAATGCAGTAACGGTAAGTGAAAATCGTCATGGACAATGTGGCAACACCTGCTTCGACAACGCTCGGAAACAGCGATGCTATGCTGCTGAATTGGAAATTTAAGATATGTGTATGTGTTTGAGTAATTCATGTGCCCCTACAATGCATACATACATACATACAGTATGTCGATATGTGCCGGCCTTACCAATTTGGCGGTTACAGAGTGATGCTTTTGTGTGGTCTATACCGGAAGAGGCAGCACGGGTTTGTGAATAAAAAATAAAAAACAAACAAAAAACATAAAAACATAAAAACTAAAGAGTTCGGCATAAATAAAGCAAGCATAAAAGATGAAGATACACAAAAAAAAAAAACTCGAAGTCCGCTAACTCGAAAAAACAAATACAATAGCAAATCCATACTTACCAAAATCTGGACTTGTGGATGAAAACTCATCTCTTAGCGATCACCTTGTATTCCCAATTATAATTTCAACATTTTTGAAGCGATTTTAAATTGTTAAATGCCACGAAAAATAGGATTATTGATGATTCTGATCAAAAATTGTGTTACAGCCACGAAAAGTTAACATCTCAATGCTGCAATCCGTCGCACGTTAGATTTTGCTACGAATTGGAATATCGTAATTTCGAGATTAGTAGGGTACTTTCACAATTCGTAATGCTAGCATGCCAGAATCCGACGTAGCTGTCAATTTGCGGAAATTCGCGGTAATTTTGTACGAAGAGAAAATGGGGCTGGAGCTACATTAGTTTTACAAAAAAAAATAATAATCAAAAAGCGTGTATAAGCGCGCGAATAATTAAAATCGTGTAAATTAAATAGTACATAAAAGTCGCCAATTTCAAGTCATGGTCTTTTCCAATATCACTGTTGATAACTTCCTTCAGCGAAGGACCGAAAAACTGCCATAGAGAAGCGACCTATGAAGATTTTATACTTAGTCCAAGCTCTTCCTCCACAATACTTAAAACGCTGTTGAATGCATCTTTGTTAAGGAGAATCTATCCCAAATCCTTAAAGATTTAAACCTTTATACAAGTACATTAATATATGTATGAGTTAAATGAATTAAAAAAACTCACATTTTATCATACATATACATATGTATGTAGAAACTAAATGGAGTAGAAGCATGCCTAAAGCATGTGCGGAGGCAAAATAATCCATTATATTTTGATTAATTAAAAAAGCTTCTTTGCAAATAGCTAATAAACGCTGATTTTAATTGAGGCAGATATCCAAATCTCAAATAGAGCGCACATAATCAGCGATTGCTTAACAACAACCCATTTGATTATTTTTAAGTAGTCTGCAGTATCCAATCACTTCGTGTGTCAACTACTTGACATTTTGAAGCTCATAGCAGCCTAATAACTTACAATACATATCCGATGGCATTGTACCGATTTAAGCACTTTGTGTGTCCGGGCGTATTAGTGACGTTCGAGAACATAATTTTATGGGCATAACTACATACATTGTACATTAGACCATATTACGATGTATAGTAGCGTGGGCCGAAAATCCACTTTTTCACTTTTTTAGAATTTTGATTGGTAATAGAAAAAATTATAGTTTATTATACTCTAAAAACAATCTTTGCTAAAGATGGCAATTTTTGGTCAAAAGCTTAAACTCGCCCGAGTCCATCAAAGTTCCATTTGCTCAAAAAATAAAAATTAAAACATTTTTATACCCAAGCGCACTTGTACACAAGGGTATATTAATTTTGTTCACATAACGGTTGTTTGTAACAGCCAAAACGAATCGAGATAGATATAGACAAATGTATACATAAATGATCAGAATGAAAAGAGAAATCGATTAAGCCATGTCTGTCTGTCCGTCCGTCCGTGTACACGATAACTCGAGCAAAAATTGAGATACTCAACGAAATTTTGTATGTAGGTTTCCATTTATCCAAGGTAGGTTGGTATTGAAAATGGGCGAAATCGGACTGTAACCACGCCCACTTCCCATATAACGGTAATTTTCAGAAATACGAAAACTGTGATATTTTAGTAACTACTGGAGATTATTCACTCAAACTTGATATTTACAATAAGTTTTACACGAAAAATAAGAATATTATAAATTTTCGGAAAATAGGCGTAGCCACGCCCACTTATGGTTACATGTGTATGTCTTGGTAACCGCTGCACTAATTTCTTCCAAACTTGGCACAGTGGTTGGGCTTCGCACATCATACCAAATGGTCGAAAATTTTTAAAATCGGACAATAACCACGCCCACATCCCATATAACGTTATTTAGAAAAATACAAAATCTTCGATAAATCAGTAAATATTAAAGCTAATTTATTCAAAATTGATGCTTGCAACAATTCTCTACCAAGAAATACGTTAATGGTAAAATTTTGGAAAATGGGCGTGGCACCGCCCACTTATGATCACATATATGTATCTCGGTAACCGTTCTACCAATTTGTACCAAACTCGGTATGGTTATTGTTCTTGCCACATAAAAGCAAAACGTTGAAAATTATTGAAAGTGGACTAAAATTGAGGCGCTAATTTAATTAAAATTTATACACCCCGGCTTATCATGTAGCGGTAGCTTTCGGAAAGGTGGAAAACATATATTTAATACGTGCGCCGGGTATTTAATGTTCGGCTCCGCCCGAACTTAGACTTTCTTACTTGTTTTTACTTAAATTGCAGTTGTCCTCGAAAGTATTAGTCCTACATCATTTGGTATATGGACATTTTTTGTAGGGAATCGAAGGAAGCTAAGAATTTTTTTAACACTTGAAATTTGATGGACTTGGGCGAGCCTAAAAAATTATTTTTCGGCATCCTGTAAAATACTCTAAATCGGGTTTTCTATAACATATTTTTTTTTTTAATATCCGATTTCTATAAATTATACATCGTTGCATGTTATGTTCATTTGTCTGAAAAGGACCAGGTACGAAATAATATGTGTCAGAAAAATAATCTCCATGTCAAGCTGTAACCCTTTGGCATGCAAAATGCTAACCTTTCCTCATCGAACAATAGCATAAAACTAGTAACTTTGTAAATAGTAATTTAAAGTAAATTTTTTCAGGACTCCAGTTGGCTTAATCCAGCTCGACAATTAAGCTTGTAAGGGAGTGTGTGTTTTAGCTGCTTACTATTAATTACATGGTGCCGTGTTCAGAGCAAAATTATAACTCTTTAGTTTGTCATGATAGGGTATTAGTTTTTGGGAAAGTATGTAGAGCTTCTTTATACCTTTACAACGGTATGTCCTTTATAGAAATCGTATATCAAAAACGCAGTTATAAAAAGCCAATTTAGCTGTCTTTACAGGGTCTTCATTGAAACTTTTCTTGTGGTACGGTCTAATGTGCTGCATACAAATACTACTTATACAAACATATGTATGTACATGGCAACAAACATTTTCTTTCATTTTATACTTTTCTTATGGAAGGTGATTTATCTCAGTAAGGGTATGAGATAATCAATATTTACTGCACACACTTAAGAGTTATTAACACTAACACAATTGTATTCACACACATGGACTTGCATATATGTATGTATGTAAGTATGTATGTATGTATGTATGTACACATAACACATTGTTGTAATTTACACCTTAAGAGATACATAGATACAATCTCTTGAATATCAAGCAACATGTGGTTGTCAAAATTCAATTAGCTCCATCCATTAAATTTCCTAATTATTAAATTCTGTACATATATAAGTATGTACAGGTGTAGATGTTTTGTTTTGAGTAATCTATGCAACTTCGTAAAGCAGATACTTTGTTGTATATGTACATATGTATGTATGTAGTTAAATGAGCTGACAGTATATGCATTGGACGTTCCACGTCAACCGGATTAGTACGTCAATGGGACGTATTACAAAGATTAAGGTCTTGAAATGATCGACTAGACTCTAGATGTCCACCCCTAAAAGCGGTGTGGCCTTTTGAAAAATTCAACTATGGTGTCTAAAATAACTATAACTAGATTTTGCTGTACAACTTTTGTGCCTTACGCTAACCTAACACTCAATAAGAAAATGTAACAGCGGATTTTTTTTAGGCTTGGTGTTGCTGATTATGAATCTGCGCCTGTTTTGAAAAATATAAAATCGATTAAAAACTGTACACAATCAGTGGTTCTAAGGGTCGCTGATTATGAATATGAAATCAGACATTAAAAATTCAAAATGGCGAATCTGCCATTTGTCACGGTAAATTTAAAATCGAACGTACGTACATGGCGTATGCGTAACATTCTCCTCTCGTCTGAGCTATCAGTAAATGAGATTAGTCAATGGTAAATAAAGATATTTCTGATCCAAAGACATTAATGAAGAAATTCTCCAATGTCTGTGTTAATAAGGCTCTCCGACTTGGCATTTTTAAATGATATTATTGAAAACTAAATAAACTCAATAATGGTTTTCAGAAGTTAATGACTGTAATCTCAGCGTTTATGGAGAAAATCTACATATGAAAGATGCTGTCGGCAGAAAAAAAACCGTCAGCTTTTCCCATCGTTTGCTCTTCTTCTAGACTCAGAAATTCTTGCGGGCTACAATCCAGCGCATTACGTGCAAATCTTTCTTCAGTTACGATCGAAATACGAAAGGCCAATGCATGAAGCAAATGCCAGGGTTCGTAACTAACAGTTTCTGTTTGCGTCTAACAATGTAGGAACTATTAATTAATCAAAAAGTGAATTTTGAGTTTTTTGTTAATTGCAGAGTTCTGCATTTTAGGTGACGAAATGTTCTCTATGGAACCAGTTTTATCTTTTTACTTAAAATCGATTTATGAATTATAGTGGAAATACTGCTTTACCAATTAAGAGAAATGGTTGTTGTTACAATACAACGAATGTTCTTTTTTATGTGCAGGCGGGGCCCTCAAAACATTGCAATGGTTTCAAAGTAGCCCTCGGTGCGTACTCAGTTGGACACCACTGGTTTAAGGTCTTCAAATGAATTGCGATTAGTCTCGAGTGAAGCACATTTTTTGGTCGATAACACCCTTTTTTCACACGCGGTCACATATGTATGTATATGTTGTGCAAAATATGGGCTAAAAATGCAAACAATGGGAATCATATAAAAATAGGCGTTTACATATGACTAAAATATGTAGAATATGCAAAGGCATTTTTAAGATAATTTAATTATTCGCGCAGACGAAAACATATACATATTTGGATAGATTTCCTTTTGATTTTGAAAAAACGGATATTAAATTTTTTCACTTTATTCAATTTTTTTTCAAATTTCCAGGTAACTATCGGCCGACGCATTGGTCTTTACAGATTTTGCGGCGACATTGGGCGTGGCAATTTTTCCAAAGTCAAATTAGCTGTTCACCAGTTAACCCGAGGTAAGTACTTTTACTATTGCGAAATTATGATCGAAGATTAAATCAAATATATGGTAATATCTAAACTCTAGTCTACAAATTAAAAAAGGCCTTATACATATACATATGTATGTATGTATAACTCTAAATACCTTCTTTAGCAACGTGGGCTTCATCTGAGAAAATAGAATACAAATTTATTCTGATCTCAAGATTGATCATATCCTATAAAACTTGATTTGCGGGGCTGAGAAGGTTCAACATTTTTTGTAACACCTTGAAACAGCCATGTTAGCCACATACCAAACGACGTTCACGACAAATTGACTCTCCGAATTTCTTGTTTAGAATTTTTGATGCAAATTTTTTTCCCCCTAACTTCCATTTTTTTCAAACTATAATAAAAACGCTTGTATAAGAGGCATTTGCTAAGAAAAAAGTAGTTGACTGATATTTGTTTAAATTATATTTTACCGCAAAATATGGAAACTTGAACCCAATTAAAAAAAAAAATATGTGTTGCGATTTAGAAAACTCATATTGAAATTTTACTACTATATTCGAATACTAATGTCTGTGTATGGTTTGCTTAAGGCCCGAAATGATTTTTAAATGAGCAAGAAAAAACTTGAACCTCCCTGGTTCTCGATTGCGGCTATTCCACATCCCCTCCACGTCCCCGAAACTCAACTTAGTTGACATAACTAAAGTTCAGAATAGGCCACCATAGAAATTATATTCTTGAAATTTTCCTGTATAATTAGCCAAATAAACAAAAGGTTTGCTTTAATCACCCAAACTTATATTTTTAACTCATCTAGTTATTTCAACAAAATAACAAAATATTTTGCAAATCAAGCCCCACAGGATTGCCAACACAACACCAAATCAGACTGCTAATAATTTAGGCCTCTTCAACTAGAGATTTTAAGAGTTACATTACAATGGAATAATTTTTTTGTTTTTTAGTCTGTATCATAGAGTTAAATGTATGGTTTAAGTCAAACATCAAATCAAACTTCGGTGCGATAGATAAAAGCATTTGCAGTAGCTTCTATGAATTCAATGAAAATTTTCCCTGTTCACAACAAAAGAGCAACTAGCTGAAATGCCTTTCAAAGTATTAGTGTGCACAACTTACAATAAATAAGTACAAATCAATGCGTACAAACTCGTACTCGTAGTAGCACTGCAAAAAAGACACAGCAATCAATTGTTCTTCGGCACTCAGAAAAAATCCGCTTTGGCCGTTTTACTTTTTTACTAACTTTTGCCTTTGTTTACAATACTCTTCACTCGCTTGTACTGTATGTAGTCATTCACTTTCATTACCATTCCTCTTTTACAGACAAAGTGGCTATCAAAGTAGTTGACCGTGGAGGCTTGGATGCGAAAGCTCTGCGTATGCTGTCCAGTGAAATTGCAACACTCGAATGTGTGCATCATCCCAATATTTTAAGGTAAGGGCGAGCGAGGGAGTGCAATCAGCATACAAAGTGGCATACAGAGTGAAAAACTAGGTAAAATATTTGTATGCGAAATTATATGCATACATATGTGGGCGTGTGCACATAAGTATGTATGTATACACATACATGAGAGTAAAGTGAGAAATATATTTTTAAAAGCAAATAAAATTTGTAAAAATAATATTTACCAAGATTTGAAGGCCAATATCGAATGCAGCTGCGTTCTGGTAAAATAGCAGGCAATATACGGGAATTTTCCATTATACCTTAGTCTTAAAGAGTAATGAAATTTGCATAATAAAAGATAAGTTAATATTAAATAAGTTTGGATTTGGAAGTACACAGATAAAGTTCACAAATTTTAGTGAGAAATCATAAAATCAATAAGAATCTTGCACTTTGTATCACCCTGTATCCCATTAAAATGTATGCGCACATGGGCAAATCTCTAGAACCGGTGCTCACATTTAAATTTATTTTACTATCATTTAAATTTTATAAAAAAAAAATTGTACGTCTTACTTTAGATATCTTTCGTACTTTTTATGACTTTAATTCCTTTAGCACAAAATGAAGATATTTAAAAATAATGGCAAATAGTAGTTCTAATATTGGAAAACGCATTAGGCGTTGATAAAACTATGTGCTCCTCCTAATTATCAGTAAAGTAATATTTTAAATTTCTTTTTCCTTTTGCACTTTTAGCATTTATTTATGTAATTGTTCCAATTATTATATATGTATGTACACATTACAGGTAAAGAAAATATAAAGACTATTGTCTGGATACAACTTTGCGCGAATGGCTTCAAATTTCCCCGTTTTCATTGGCACAATGACAGACTAAAAAATAAAAAGCCGAAACCATACGAGATCGGTATATAATCTTCCTACTTAATAAAGTTATTTGTATCTAAAGGATTTCCATATCTTTTGCGTAGTGCGGTTAAAGAATTTTAAAATATTTATTTATTCAAAACTAGCAAATACCAGGCGTGCCTTAAAGTATTTTTGCGCTTTTTAGTACCTGTATTGTAATACGAATTATTAATTTTTCGTAGCGCTTTTCAAAATTAAAAGAAAAATATAATAACAAACTTAGCTTTTAAGAAATAACACACTAAATTTATTTCAATGACTTAGTTTTCTTCATTACGAAAAATAAACTTGGATGGAGAGGTTTTTTGTTTGCTTCTTCATAGTTGCTCAATTTCAGGACGTGTTTCTCTATTTTTGAGATGCCTGCTTTAGGTAAACCATAATTCGCCAATCGATTTCCGTAATTGCCCCGATAAATTTTTTTCAATCTTAGTTTTTTGTTGTTGATTTAATCTGATTTTCGATGAATTTTTGCTCTTTGTTGACATTTTTTAAACACACAAACTGTACACAGCTCAAAAATTCAAACTCTTACGACAAAAATAAACTCGGCGAATACCCGGAAACAAATAGAGTTCGGGCTTGTTTTTGTTGCCAAAAAAATGGTTGTTACATATAAGCTCAGAAAAAGTAAACCCAAAAGTTTAGAGCGGTACGTGAACACTGAGATTCGCTTAACTTAGCCGAGCGATTAACTTTTCCGTGACTCTAATGTATTTCATTTTCTTTATCAATTTAATTGATTTAATTCAAAGAGGTGGCAACCCTCCTCAAACATATTTCCGCCAGTAAACTTTCCTAAACCTCTTCAGTTTGATTCCCATATCGCAATATGTACTTTATCTTATCAAATTATCTTCAATTTTCAAACAGGTGGCAACTCTCTAATTTTTTTTCTTTGTATATTTTATTTTATTTTTTTTAGACCTCTTCATGTATTAGTTTTCGCGTGATGCGCTTACAAACATACAGACAGGCAGACGAAAATTCTACAAATTATTGATTGGGATTCTGTTACTTTAATAAAGACCCCCATACTAATTTTTCTTTAATATCTATAATGTACAGACATCAGCCTTTTACAATTTTATTATATGTACATATGTATAGATTTATACATATTTACAATCGATGATTAAGCAATCATAAAATTTTTGGAAATTGGCACCGCACCGCTCAAATTAGGTGTATCTCGAAAACCATTTCACCAATCAGTAAACATTTTGAAGTCGGACAAAACTCACCTCCCCTAGAAATGTCTCTAACTTTGAGTCTTTGAAAATTATATTTTTTTTTACTTGTGTATAATAAATAATTTATGCTTTTCTTAATGGATTTTAAGTAATACTTTATTTTTGTGCGATCGATTTAAAAATGTTCGAATTCATAGCGTTGGATCGCCTGGTATATACCCACTTTCATATGTACATATACATACATACTACTCGTGTACTTGTATTTTTTAAAAATTTCAAAGCCACACAGCATCACAAAAAAGATAAAATAAAAACGATACCAAAGCAGCAGCAAAGTGGCAGCCAGCATGTATGTATGTATGTAGGCTCCACTACGACTCTGCCACTTTTCTGTTTATTCTTTTTTTTTTGCCAACATTGCCGTATCACTTTACTCTCGACCACAGCTTTTATTTTGTTGTTGTTCAATTTTCATTTTTATTTCTTTCACTTGTTTACCCCTTTTACGCGTTGGAGCAGACTCTTCGAAGTGGTGGAGACACTGGGACGTGTGTATCTGGTCACAGAGTGGATACGCGGAGGCGAACTCTACAATCACATCACCCAGGGTGGTCCGCTGCGGGAGATACACGCTGCGCCTTTGTACAAGCAGCTGTTGTTAGCCGTAAAACACATGGTAAGCAGAGTTGACAATTATACACTGTACTTTATGTTCGGGCAAGCAAGTAAGCAACTAGGCAGCCAGTCAGGCACAGCGCTTGTTGAGACCGAACAACAACCATCGAGCGACCAGCCGGCGGCGATGTACAGAAGGACAATCCGCATGCTTGGCAAAGTGTTAGTGTTGGCGACCAGTTGTCCATTAAATTGCCATTTGTGTATTCTGACACTGTACTTATTGGCTCGCTTGCTGCCGTTTTTATTCTTCGTACACTTTAACCATATAAAAGTACATAAATAAATACATGCATGTACCTACTAAATATCTATGTATGTACATATGTACATATGCAGTAACTACACTTTTTTTGTGCTCTCTCCCCCGTCTCTCTCCTTTGGTGATAAATTATAGCATAGCTTGGGCTTTGTACATCGCGATATTAAGGCTGAAAATGTGCTACTGCTGTCAGAGGATCGCTTGAAGTTGGCCGATTTTGGCTTTAGCACACAACTTATCAATGGTGAGTTACAATGGTATGGCGGTAGGTTTGTGTGTATGCAAGTAAATGAATGTTTTATATATAACATTATATAATGAAGGATGCTCGGCCACAAATAAGAGGGCTGTTAAGGGTTGAGATTTCAAAAATATCTGAAAATTCTAAAAGAGCAGCAATTAAGCGAGTATTTTGTCTGGAATGCAGCAAGATTTAGTAAAATTGTTAACAAAAGTATCAGCGGAGGATGAAGCATTTACTTTACACCATGGGTGGGAATTTCAGAGTTTTTTGATTAAAATCTACAACTAGAAAATTGTTTATTCTATTAGAAGATAAAGCAAAAATGCTTTATACTACATCTGTGCTTAATTTCTGCCCAGTGAGATTAAGCGCGTTTATGAAGTCATGGTCAGGTCCGAAACACATTTTAACTTCAAGTAAGGTAGAGACATACATACACATTTATTATGCACAAGTAAGATTTCCTACTCAAAAATTGTTGTATAACATTTTAACCCAGTGGAAGGACTCGTTCTGGTGGGATACATTTGGTTAAACTGTTCTATCAAAAATTTGATTGCTTGTTTATAAGACAAGAATTATGCATGACCCGCGCAAAAAATTGTCAGATTTTCGTAATTGGATATTTCTAATTAAATTCTACTAACGTGACAGCTGCCAAATTTACTATAACCAAACGAGGGTTGTTTATTCTTAGATTATAAAAGGAGCCTACAATTAGGCCGATCCATGCATACATTCCTTAACATACATATTGTGGATACATATCTACATACATATATTCTTAATATTAGAAACAATGACGTCTATCAGTTAAAAAGGAATAACTCGCTCCTGACCCGCCCGCCAAGCAGATAAAAGTCTTTCAAATGTCGTAGGCATGCCAACGTACATATTTATATGCACACATACTTACATACACGTAAGTGTATGCCTATAAATAGATACTCACTAATGTGGATGCGGGTACAGAGAATCATTTCTATCCTTATATCACGCTCTAATTGTCACTTGTCATTCATCAAGTAGCAAAGTTTACTTTTGAATCCACATTTAAATTTTTAACACCGATTTAACAGATCTGTTATGTATGTATGTATGAGTACGTTTAGTGCTATAAATATCCTTTCCAAATGGACATACACATGCTGAAAATTTTAAATGCATACACATGAAATACTTACTATATGGTGACTGGCAACACTGTATGTATATCTTTCTGTAAATAGAAGCCTCTTGAGTATTTTGCAACTTTAAAAGTAGGTATGTACGTTTGCAGCTAATGAATGAGTAGATTAAAATAACTCATCATCATTTAGTGTAAGAAGTCCAAGATGCTTTTGATATTTTTTACATAGCTTTATGAATTACTGTAGCTGAGTTACGACCTAGTACTGGTAGTGGTTTAAAACAGAAACTTATAATGCATGTGGGAAGGATGCGCTGGAAGCAGCGGTCCGGTAATAGAACAGAATCAAGGAACTTGTTTCTTTGTAAAGCGGGGAAAATTAAGGTTTTTTTTTTTAAATTAATATTTTCACGAAACTAGGAGTCAAATATAGTAAAATTCCATTTTTAGTTTTTCTCTATGACGCACAGTGTTTCGACTACTAACTATATTTGGAGGCAGGTGGAAATAATAGTAAACCTGGACCGATTTCACTGGAGCTTGACATATGTATTCTCTAGTTTTACTTAGAAATAGAGAATTATGAAATTTGGTAAAGATGGAATAATTGCCACGCCCTCTACTCTTGTGGGCGGAAACATTAAATTTCATCCGATTTCGATGAAATTTAGTTTGTAGCCTTTCTTTTATTAGAGAAACCTAAATATCAAATATGGGGAAGATTGGATCACTATAACGTCCAAAACCCACAAAAAATGTGGGCCCAGCCATGAAATGTGATGGAATTTTTGTTTCCTGCTTTCCATTCTCAGGAAACAATTACTCGCTTTTTCCCAATGTTTGGTGAGATTTTTTCATTGTTCAAAAAATTCTTTTCGCGAAATTGCACAAAAAGAAGCTGAAATCAAAAATTAAAAAAATTAAAAACTACATATATTTGCAAAGTCGCGCGAAAAGATCCAATTGTATATTCGAAAGCTACATAGAATTCTGTAATTTCGTCTAATTTGTAGACCTGACGGACCGGCGACGTTTTTTTTACTAATAATCTTTAGCATCTACATTTCAAAGTAAATTTTTTGATAAGAAAATAGGAAAGTACCAAATAAATGATAAATACCTTCACCTGAATATTCCCCGACTTTTAAATAATTGATTACAAAACAAAAAAAAAGAAACACTTGCTTTAATGGGTTAATTGCCAAAGGCAGCTAAACTGATTAGACGGTATTACGCCGATTCCCGTATTTTTCGGAAATGTATCGTTCGTGAAGAAGGGAAGTGAGTAGATAAGGTGAAATTCGGTATTTATGACGTTTACTTTTCCCTCTCGTAAGTCCAACCGGTTTTTTTATCAACTCTCACCACGGCTTTTTTCTACCTGCCTCCATATAGTCGAGCCACTGTGCGACGTTAGGAGATTTTAAAGGCTTTGAAATTTCAAATATGTATGATTTATTAAAAAAAATAATTTAAAAAACTCAGTGCAACATAGAATAACAAGTCACTTCACTACTCTTCTACTTAAATGACCGGTTACTTGTATCTGAACGCGTCGGTTATTTATTCGTTCAACTTCACCAACTAAAGGCAAAATGGTTTGTCGTTAGTTTATGATGATAGAATGATTTACAGATGCATTCGGTTACAAGTAGCCGGTCATTTACGAACACGAGATACGAAGTGACATATACCACTTTTGGTGCATATGAACCAATAGGTATTGTAAATGTCCTTTTTAAACTTTATCCTTCAATAGCTTTGAAAATTTCCAATAACTGTTTTTGAAAAAAAAAATATATATGTTACGGTCTAATAGATAAACTACCACAACCTCGAATTTCGTTCTTCTAACTGATCAGTTTCAATAGCTATTGGTTCTTGTACACCAAGAAAAATAATTATGTATTTGGAATTCTAAAGAGTTTTTTTCTATCATTTGATGCCCATATTGTTATTCTGCATTGCAAATAATATATTTTGAATTCAGTTTTACTACATTGACTTCTAGTTTCTTGAGTAAATTGTTTTTTTTTTGCGTATGAGATTTTGAAATTTTTTGGCTTTTGTTAATAAATATAATAAATTCAACGTTTGATAATTACTTGAAATTCGAATTTTATAATTACCATTCTTACCATCTTTTAGGTGCCAATCAGAAACTGGACACGTTCTGTGGCTCGCCGCCTTATGCAGCGCCGGAACTCTTTTCGGATGATCATTATATTGGTGCGCCAGTGGATATTTGGGCTCTCGGCATATTGCTCTACTTTATGGTTGTCGGTAATATGCCATTTCGAGCGCCTACAATACCTGGATTGAAAGCGGCTATATTGAAGGGTGACTACCTGCTGCCTGGACAATTAAGTCTACCATGCATAAGACTTATACGTAAGTATATTCGATGAGTTGCCAATGGGTGGTATACATATTTTCTTGATTATGGGAGAATGAGTTGGTTTTGCTTACCTTTCTGAATAGCGACGAGTTTATTTCTTATTAAAAATGTTTATTTTGTTTAATATCCTACCGAAAAGTATTTCTATTCTTTCCTTTATTATAGAACGCATTCTCATTCACATCCCTGCTCGTCGACCAACCATCGATGATATGCTCAACAGTCAATTTGTTTGCTATCCAAAACTCAGCGCCGAACTTATGCAATACGAGATCAACTTGCGCACGAAGCCCGTGAAGCGTTCCGGTTTCTGGGTGCGCTCGAAATCCAGACGCATGCGCAAATCGTATTCACTGCGCGAACGTTACATGGAGGTGACCAATAAGCCGCCCATCAACATGAATACCCGCAAGAACGACGGTGTATTCGTAGATAATTTCTTACATCCGATAGAAATCAATCGGGATCTGCCAAACGAACTCAACAAAGAGCCATCGAAGCCAAACACACCAAAGCGTTCTTTCTTCTGCGGCACGCTAAAAAAGAAAGTCAGCCCCATGGAGATCGAAAAAGAAAGGCAGTTTGCCAATGGAAATGGCTGTGAGAATCGGCAATGGAATGTGGATGTGGCCATCGACTGTCCGCTTTTCAAGAATTACGATGTTGAGACCGGAGAGCTCATTATGCTGCCAACCGACACCGATGATTTGACATTGGTGAAGCCACTGGAGTATGAAGCGCGTCAGCTGCTGGACGAGCTGGGCATCAGCTCGGAAATGCTACGTGCGGCGTTACAAAATGGTCCACGCAGCGATATAATTGGGGCGTATCGCATTGTAGTGAATCGGCTGCAGAAGCAGTCGTGGCTAGCGCGGAAGCATGTCGAGCTGGCGCTGCAAGAAATGCCAAAGATTGAGAAAAAGATGGAACGCTCGTGTTGCATACTCTAAGGCGTTCCTGCAGTTTTCTCACTTCCACTACCAAATACACACCATTCTTAATACTCCATTTACCCATACAACATTTCAACAACCAACTGTCTTTCTCTGTCTGTGTCTGAATCCACTGGCTCCACAACTCTTTAAAAACTACTCCAAACTTATGCATAAATATGTGACTATGTCTATCTACATAAATAAGTAGTTGTGTTTATTAATGGAAAGTGACAAAATTTATTGACAGATGTACTAAGTGAAGTTACAATACATTTACAAGTACATAGTTAGATGTGTAAGTAGTGGTTTTGATCTCTGATCTTGAAGAAGAAGACTACTCAAGAATTTCATTATGTCTGCAAGAAATCGTTAGAAACGAAAATACTTATATGTATGTGTAATGCGTCGTTAGTCGAATTTTATAGTTGTAGTTGTAATGTAATAATAGTGAAATTGTTAATTAACCGTTAGCTGAATATGTTCGCTCCACATAAACTTCAAGAAGCGGATATTCTATGTAATCAGTTATGTACCAAAAAAGAAAAAGAAACCAAAACCAAAACCAAAACCAAGGCAAAGACAAAAACGAAAACGAAAAAAAATACATACATATATGTATGTACATATGTTTATTATTATTAGACACACGCGAATGTGTTTACATTTAATAAGTGTTATATTTTGTAATTTTATAATTTCGAAAATTGTAGTATTAAAAGACAAAGAACGCTGTATTTTAGTTCTGAACTGTGACAAATGTATCTAATTAAACTAGAAATAAAATAATTTTATCACATTGTCGGTCCATTTTAACTCACAAATTTGCGCCCAAGTGGAAAACAATAAAACAGCTGCGAAAGATAAACAAAAACAAAACTACACCGAGGAAAGCAGCATGGACTTTGCACTGCATATTTGAATTGTCTCCCATGGAGTCATTTACATACATACATACATACATACATACATATAAACATAGACGCAAACATGAGATACATGGAAAATATCTTTATAGATACATATATATTATTTTTTAATAAGTTTCGATTTGATTTAATGCGATGACGAATGTAATTGACTAAGTCAAATAAATAAATAAATAAATAATTAAATAATGAAAATTCTGATAAGTTTTTTTATTTTTGTATAAAGCTTTTACAGTGGTGTGCATCAAATTGGGGGACCCACACAACAGCTTTTGCAAGAAAGATATGCACTCGGTAGGTAGCCATAATTTTTGGATGTTGATCAACCCTTAGCGACCAAGGACGTACTTATCTAATTAACGATTCAAATATTTTGTTTAAAATTCATTAATCACCTGGCAAACCTGAGCGCGAGCCCCGCGTATAGCGAGTGACATTTGATGACTGAAAAATTGTAGGATATGCAGTTGACACGTGAAGGAATGCTGAGGAGTGGATTATTCACAACAATGTGGAATGAAAACGGCTTTGCTTCCGACATGATAATTCGTCTCAAAAGCCGAGCAACCGAACAATCAATTCGGATGTATACTGTCGGCAATTGAACGTTTTGAATGAAACCATCACACATTTTTGGTTATACTCGCCTAAGCTTGCGTCAATCAGACTTCCATTTTTTCCACTCTTTTCATAATTCCTTGGCTGGAACACTGTTCCTTCTACTAACGAAGAATTATCAAAGTCAACGAAAGTTGTGAAATTGTCATCAACTGGAGCGTTTTGTCGATGAATTTGCCGGAAAAAGCCGGCTTTAAGAGTTTTCCAATATGACTTGAAATGATATTTATGGGTAATTAATGTAAATGTATATTATGAATTGCAACTAAAGTAAAGTGCTGTAAAGCCTAAGATAACAGAATTTTGAAGTACCACCGACAAAGACTTGAGTGTAAATAAGCTGAAGAAAGCTGAAGTGAAAAACGAAATAGATTATCTCAAGCAAAATTTTCACGGCAACCACAGAAATGCCGTTGCCAGTTGCCAGCTGAAATTCGGTTACCATCTGCAATCGACCGATGATATTAACAATTAAATAGTTTTTATAAAATAAGTTAACATTTATAAAAAAAAAAATTTAAAACAAGCTGTCTTTTGTGGGGTTATTCCTTTTCATGTATGTATGTGTATGTAGGTCTATATTATAAACATAAACTGAATCAGATTCTCGACATATGTCGAACTATAAATGTGGGTTTTTGAAATATGTCGACTCCTTTCATATGGCATTGCCATCGGGTTCTGAGCTAAGTTTCAACTTCAAAGCTCATCGGGAAGCTGGTTAAAATTGATTTCATGAATTGAGCCAAACAAACATGCATACATAGTAAATAGAATAAAGGCTTGTAAAAAGTACACCCACATTTCAATACTAAACTGGCTTTATATTTTTTTATTTATCCAGGATCCAGGAAGCGCAAAAACTCATCATTAAGTTAAAGAAAATATTTATGCAATGATGAAGCGTTTACTGTAATTTTTTTGTGAAATTAAGTGCGCCCTTTATATGCTAAATACACACATATGGATCACATCATTTACTTACATATGTACATCGAATAGGATTTCTTCCATAGAAATATGTATGTATGTGTGGTGGCAACAAAAATTCATACATAGATAGCACTCCATCAAAAGGTATGACAGCAGCACTTAAGAATACGTACCTGTTTACACAAGTGAGGAGGACTCAAATCAGAGCTTACCTATACTTCTGCTCAAACATACATATGTCCACAGGATAGCTTTGCTAATGATAAGCAAAAAAAGGGAGTAAGCAAGACAGGACAAAGCAGTCCCATGCCTATAGCCGGAAGACGTGCGTTGAATGTGCAGCGTTTTGCTACCTCATGCTGCTGCAGGCAATGAAATCAAATCAAAATGACTACACGCTTAGGAGAATCTGCCAAACATCATTAATTTTGAATTTGACTTCCTGTGGCCTCAATGGCCTCGCTGTTCAATAGTCAGGTCGGTCAACTGTTCACCCGAGCAAATGGCAATGCTTAATAGGTTGGTATGTGTGATGGAATAAAATACCCATTCAGGCTTGTTAATATGTATGTACATGTGTAAGCACTCATATGGATGGGCGAGCCTCTCCATTTTACGCTCTGCGAAATCGTAATTTCTGCTGGTACCAAGCAACTAGCAACTAAGTACTAGCGTACGCAGAGAATAGCCAGAAGCAAATGCTGCTCACAAGGAAAGTGTGTGAGCAAACCGAGCAAAGGTATTTCTTCAGCTCGAATGCGTTGTATGTGGGGGGGGTAGAAAAGACCTGTAGGAAAAACTGTATCCTTAACATCCTAGTAAGGCAAAGATTATATATATATATATATACGTAGTCACGAGACAAAGAAAGCGACACGACATTTTCGGATATTAGCCCGAAAACAAGCCTTTATTTTTCAATGTGGCAACACATAGTGAAGCAGAAAGCAAAGAACGCGAAAAAGAGAATAGTGACGAAAACGAAAAAAACAAATTGCTCCCGTCGCTTTCTGAGCTGACAGTTGAAATAAATGTCGGTAGCTTAAGTGGCACTGGTTTCATGTCTCTTTCTTCGCTATTTGTCTCGTTACTATATTATTTTCCTAAGGCAAGTTTTGGAGTTATATAGCAGTTTAGGTTGATTCTGACGTGTTACCAATCCGACAGAGGGCGCGCAATTGTATCATTTGTCAGAAAATCGAAGTAGACAACCCATAATCTGGCACATTTCTCACATTTATCGTGAATATTGGCATAAATCAAACACAGTGCATCGGTTAGTGATGCTTTTATAGGAAATAACGCAATTTTTTTTGCCGTTTGCCGTTGTTCAGTAATGCCTTTGGACTTATTTTCGTTTAACTAACTGCTTATTAATAGTTACATATTTCGTATTTTTTTCCGTCTAATCCATACTAAATCTTCATAAAGCAGTCATAATTTGAAAGCTTAAAAATGTTTGCTTCCAAATGATTGCAAATAATAAAAAAAAAATATACGTTCCAAGACAAACATATTAATTACGCAAAAACCTGAATTAGCTCTCCTAAAAAACATGAAAATGTTCAAAAAACTTATATTCACAAACATTTTACAAATTCAAAATTATCAAGAAATATCAAAATTGTATGCATGTCTCCTCGCCACAAAAGAAGCTTATCCAATAATTAGTTACATATTTCCCATCGTGCCTCATCGAATGCAGGCATAAATAGTGCATCAAAACTGAGCAATATCGTGAGGCGGACATTCGTACAAACAAACAAAAAAATCTAAACAAAAATACTTTATTTGGAATATACATATTTTTTTTTTAATTTTTTACTTGTAATCAAACAACTATCAAAGTTAACTACAAATATTCAATTTTAACACAACAACACAATTTATAACATATCCAATAAGCTACATATATAAGTTGATTTTATTGGGCCAGGATTTCGCTATTACGCTTGTCATGGCCAAATAACGTACGCCTATTAACAAGCGTACATTTTCCACCAAGACCCCGTGCACATAACAAGTGTTTAACTCGTGATACCTGCGGGCAATGCAAACACTTTATCCAGCGTCGAGCTAACGTCGGTTATTAGCGTAGAAATTTCATGCTTTAGTTGTTGTTTTTGGTAAGACTGTGACTGTATCACCGTTACGTTGAATTTGTGTTGAAAGGCGTTGGACGTTGGCATCAAATACACCATATCTGTAAAGTTTCATGAGTGTGCACCTAAATTAAAAAAAAAATGGCAGAATGCATTTTGGAATATTACGATTTTAATAATTTTAAATGCTTCAAAATATCAAAATTAAACGGTGAAAATATTCTTCTTGCCAAAACGAACAAATCTTGTGTAATAAAACTATTATATCGACGATAGCAGTAGGTTGAATAAGGAAAATGAATTAGCAACACGCTGAAGTCTAGAAAAAAGAAGTCTGATAAGGAGAGGTGGTGATCTCCGAAATAGCTGCTATAACTTCTACCGCTTAGACTTTGTTGCTTTTTCAATTTTTCCTAATAAAATAATCGTGGTACAAAGCTCAATAAAAATACGTAAAAAAAAATTAAAAAAAAAAAATTTATAAGCCACAATAACATTGACAAATGAAAAAAAATTCATTTTATTAGCATATACATGACAAGTAATTTTTAAGCAGAAAAAACACAACCGACCTAAATTATCATATGTATAAAAATTTTGGGGTGCTGTTAATTTTTTGATGATCAAATGATCGGATCTAAACAAACTTAGTAAGGGATCACCTATGAGACACTATCTTTTCGAAAGAAAAAGAATTATCGAAATCGGTTGACGTGGTCCAAAGTTATACGATAACATATGTATGTACATAAAAAAAAGTATATATATTCCGACGAATTGATAACCTTCTCCTTTTTTTAAGTCGGTTAAAAATATGTACATATGAGCATAAGGAATATTGTGTAAAAATTTTAGACGCCAATATTTAATTACTTTTAAATAATATGGCTTTAGGGCGTGCGAGTTAATGACTGCATAAGGTGCTACGGGGCGTATACGTTACATATGCAACTACGGGTAT